AGGACCCGGTTGAATTACCCATTTTCAGATACATATATAACTTGATTTAGTTTACTGACATCATATATATATATTTCTGATTTTAGATATACTTTGATTAGCATTACACACAAATGCAGCACCAGTGTAATGTGGGCTAAAGGAAGCCGTTGAATAACACTCGAATTAAGAGATTTACTTTCACATTGGCGGCTCGTCGGCTTGCGCGACTGTCCAATTATGGCAATTTTAAATCTAATCACACCCCACACGCACAGTCTCCAACGGTCAGAAAATCCCCGCGTTACAAGAGAAGCAATGATTGAATGGAAATGGAATAACGATTGGGTCAAGGTTGCCATCTTGTCTTACCCTTCTTTCAAAGATAAAGCGAATGTGCGCCACGAGATGCGAAGATTTCTGAAGATTTGGGAGTGGCGCGAGAAGAGAAGAGCAGGGGCGAAGTATCGCCACCACTTAACCAAAAATAAATAAAAACAACTGAAGGTCGTTGACCAAATGCAGTGCGCGGGAAAGAGAGAGGGAGAGCAGGTGGCGTGTGCGAGCGGGAGGGACACTGCAAACCCGTTAATCAGACCGAAAGAGCCGTTAATCGCGCCGAAGAATTGCAATAGCAAAATGGTGCAAATGCTGTTGGGGGGCGGGGGAGAAGTGGGGCAAACTGGACAATGGGCAATTAGCGGGCAAAAAACCGGGGGCCTAAATTTGATTATGAAATAGAATGGGCATGTAAATGCTTGGCCTGTCTTCCGCGTCTGTCGCTTTTCTTTTCTTTTTTGTATTTCGGGCTTAAGCCAGGCTGGATTGGCGAAAAATAAAAGAAAATGCGAGGTACCTGGCATTTGTTTTAAGTCGCCGTGTTTAGTCGAATTGTTGCTATTGCCACACGTTGGATTTTAAAATAGCCGACCACGGAGCTAAGTATGTTTTCAATTTAATGACTGCAGTGATTGCACAAAATTCCAGGCAACCAGGCAGCCAGTCATTCAGTCAGACATACATACATCACATAATGCACACGGCGAATACGTCGCACATGCACATCCACGGGTTCCGATGGCCTATCCAGCAGATACATTTGTATGTATCTACATATCCATATATCCAGTCACGCCGTGGGCTCCCACTGGCGGCAGAACTGGGTAGCAATCACGATCGGCCAGGGAGCCACCAAATTGCCAGTTGTGGCAGCCATGTGTCAGGGGTTTCGTTTCGGCGGTCCACCAATGCAGCCCCTTGCCCATAAGACTAGGAAATCCATTGACCCAATGATGCCAATAACTGAACCACGCTATGCACTCGAAAAGAGGCGAAACAGAGCTTAATCTAGAAACATTTAAGCATTAGATGGATTTCATTTCATTTTAATCACTTTAATTTTAATGAGAAATAGTATTTCCCCATTTGGTTACCACAGGCTTTTACTGAACCTTACTGAATATTTTTGTTAGGAATGGAGTTCCTTCACCATCATAAGTACATTTTAATGAACTATTAGAAAAATCTATGAGATTACGTAAATCAAGCATATGGTTATTGTTCTTAAGGAAACATGGATGAACTCAAAGCTCCTAACTCCTCTAGAAGATTGGAAATTCGAAGGGAAGTCACTTCTTGCAGTGTATATCTTTTGTGGTCCCACTCACCACGACGAGATGCTGTGGATGACCCCATAAAGCTCTATAAGACGATATGAAATACACAAATGTGAAATATATCGAATATCCAAACGCATTGTGCTACATTTAACCTTCTTATTGTCTCCGCCACTTACCACATGGGTCTTATGTTTTGGCTATTGGATTTCGGTGAGTTGGGTTTGCAACAAAGTTGATGTCAATAGCCGCAGGCATTTGCATAATCCCAGCCTCTCGAATCTATATATCATATGTCCAGGTGTGGGACCAGAAAGAAAACGGAAGCCTCGGCCACCAATTGGATATGGTTTTGGGCCAACAAATCAAAGCCACCGCCAAGTTTTATGTGGGTCTGTGTACCACCGATTTCCACTTCCTAGCTATTGTCTGTAGGATAACGACCCGGTTACCTTGTTGTAATATCTCGAGTGCAGGAGTCGTGCCTCCAGTGGCGTACATCCAAAACCCCCCCTGCTGGTGGAAAACGAAACCGAAACTTGTTTTCATATAACACCGTTCCCCCGACTGACTTTTCATTACTAAGCCAAAATCCCCAACAACAACAACAACGGGCAGCAAAAGAGTTGCGAATGCGCCGCACCGCCGACTTGCGTTGCGAGATATAGAAAGACAAGACAGTCCAATTTTTCGGTGTATATAAGCTGAGTGCAGCGGCTCAGCGATTCAGTCCCAGCTTGGATCTCGTTACCCGTGCAGCACAGCGAATAGTGGAGTAATTGTTCCCCCGTGAGACGTCGAATCAGCAGCTCAACAATGCGAATGGTAATGGTGGCGTCCATCAGAGGAGCGGAAGTGCGCATGCCCAGCGAGGATGCGCAGCTATCCGCAGTGTTCTCAGTGACCAGAGTGTGAATCGTGCCTCTAAATTGTATATCCATTGCAGTTCGTACTTCCTTGTCTCGCCGTGTGCGTGGCATTGGCCCACTGTGGCGGAGCAGTCGAGGATAAGAAGGCCGAGGGCGATGGCAAGACCGTGGAGAAGAGGGGCCTCCACCTGGGCGACTACCACCACTACCAGCCCCACCACGAGCACATCAAGACGGTGACCATCGAGAAGAAGATTCCCGTCCCATACACGGTCACCAAGCACGTGCCCTACACCGTCGAGAAAAAGGTGAGTCCTTACCCCCAATCCTTTCCCATGCAAACCATTTTAAAGTCCGAGTCCTTTAATAAATGTGTGTAACACAAATCAACATTTATCAACATCTAAAACAGATCCCCTACGAGGTGAAAGTGGATGTGCCTCAGCCTTACATCGTTGAGAAGAAGGTGCCCGTCCATGTCAAGGAGTACGTGAAAGTGCCCGTCCATGTGCCCAAGCCCTATGAGGTGATCAAGAAGATCCCCTATGAGGTCAAGGTGCCCGTCGACAAGCCCTACGAGGTTAAGGTGCCCGTGCCCCAGCCCTACGAAGTGATCAAGAAGATCCCCTACGAGGTCAAGGTCCCAGTGCCCCAGCCCTACGAAGTGATCAAGAAGGTGCCCCATGAGGTTAAGGTTGAGGTCCCGGTTCCCAAGCCGTACGAGGTGATCAAGAAGGTGCCCTATGAAGTCAAATACGAGGTGGAGAAGCCTTACGACGTGGAGGTGCCCAAGCCCTACGATGTCGAGGTCGAGAAACCATACACCGTTGTTGTGGAGAAGAAGGTGCCCTATGAGGTCAAGGTTCCCGTCGACAAGCCCTACAAGGTTGAGGTGAGTGGAGATCACTTAAAAACAGAGACATCCAAAATAAGTCTTGCAAAAACCTTCAAAAATAGATATCGGTCCTATAGAATTCCCCTTTTAACTTGCCAACTTCTTCCAATTTCAACCCAGGTGGAGAAGCCCTACCCAGTCCATGTGAAGGTGCCCGTGCCCCAGCCTTACACCGTCGAGAAGAAGGTTCCGTACACCGTCGAGAAGCCCGTGCCCTATGAGGTTAAGGTGCCCATCGAGAAGCCCATTCCCGTCTACACGGAGGTGAAGGTGCCCATCCACAAGGAGATTCCAGTGCCAGAGAAGTACCACGTCGAGGTGCCGATCTTCAAGCACCACCACGAGGACCACCATGAGTACCACAGCCACGGCCATGGACACTACTAGGAATCGTCCGGTGATATCCAGAGCCAGACGCACAGAAAGCGAGCACAAGAAGAAGGAGGACGAACAGGAAGGAGTACGAGGAGCAGCAGGCGCGACACTGACAGCCAGTCCATGTGCATCTCTCAGATGCATCCACGCAGCAACGTTGAGCTGGACGTTGAACGGGTGACACGAGCGGGAGGAATTGTAGTCGATGAGAGGCCGAGTTCTTTGGCCAGGAGGATAATGAGAAGAAGAAGATGACGACGAAGAAGAGGAAGAAGAGGAGCCAGAGCAGAAGAGGGAGAGCCGGCGGGGAGTAGCAGTCAGAGGACAAACTTACTAGCTACTCCCATTGAGATCTGGCGGAAGTCCGCGAAAGCGGTTTCCGCATCAGTTTTAAGCCAAATGTGTTAGTACTTTTATCGTCGTGTTAGACCCTACGATTTCTATTTAAATTATAAGCTAAAGAAACACCGACCAGATGTCGTTAATTAATGGGCTTTCGGGTGCAATGACGGGGAAGTGAAAGTGAAAATTGACCAGCCAGCCATGGCCAAATCGCCATGCGAAAGACAGACACGTAACGCTCGCGGCGGAAAATGGAAATGAAAACGAATGAAAACCAGTTACCACTTACTGTCAGTGCAGAGTGTGTATTCTTGGGGCCAGTTCATTATGCAAGGAGCGATCCGTTGCGTCATCGGACTGCCAAATTAATTGCAGGAAGCACTCGCCAGCAGTCGCTGAAAACTTGGCAACATTTTCGCAATTAAGGCGGGCTGTCATAATGGCATAAAAGATTGAGATGGAAAATAAATGCATGGATTGCCAACAAATTGATGGCTACACGGCTAGAAAAAACATTGCAGAGGTAAGGTATTCACATCTTGAAATGATTAGCTATTAGGGCCCGTTTTTAATTAAATTATATTTCATTTGGAATCTACCTTTCATCTATCTTTTACATACATTGCAGATATATTTAATATGAAATAAATCAATGTGTTCTTTGTTCCGATTTTTCTTTGTGCTCATTTAACGGCTCAATTTGCAATTGATTCGCAATAGTAACAGTCACGAAACACAGTCAAAAACATAACAAAACGGCACTTCAAGTGCGCAATGGCCTCATTTTCGGGGGCAGTAAATGTAGCGCGTAGCCAAATTGCTCTGCATTTCGAAATATCCACTAATTGTAGTTCAATTTTGTAAGCATGGGCTCTCGAGCTTTCAAAACTGGCGCGTACCTTAACAGTGACTGTTGGCAGTGCGCTGTTAAGTCTGCCGGCGATCTGGTAGCTCAGTTATTGAATTATTATTGGCAACACTAGAGTAACTCTTTTCGCTCTTGGATAAAATACTTAATCAAGCCGCTTTAATGCCGCTAACAATTACAAAATTTCGCAATTCGAGTGGGGGCGTGGTGGCCGCACAGCCCACAGTGGTCCTGCACCCCAAAACAATAGATTCCCAGGATAACACAAAGGTAATCAAAAGTCTGCCAAATGTATAAACTCTCATTCTTTTTGTTGTTACTCGGCGTTGCCCAATCATCAAGAGTTGCACAAATAACTGTAAACTGAACTGCGTGATGTGCTGAGCACATTTTCGAAATGTACATAAATCCTAATAAAGTAGGCAATTGTACTTATCTGCACAGAAACCGTTTGCAAAATTGGAGCCGGGTAATGCCTCAGTGAGGGTTACTACTGGCGGTATAGTTCTCAACAAAATACCAGCGCTTGTTAGGTCAAGTATGAAGAGGGCAGCAACAGGAACGATAACTGGAGCCGCGGCCGCGGGAGCAACAACAACAACAACAACAACAACAGCGTCAACTGGTACAGTGGGATGTGAGTAACAAAAAGCCAACAAAAATAGGAAATATAGGAAAATCATTTTTTAAGTAGTAATTACTATTATAATTACTATGTAGCACTTATACTTATAATTATTAAACAATTTTAGATCCCGTTCTCAAAACACCCAAGTATGTGATTCAGACTGGTCCAAGCGGATCCTCTGGCCATCAGCTCCAGATGCTGGCGAAAAAGTACACCCAAAGCTTGGGAATGGCCATAAATTCTCTGCCGCCGAACACAATCATCAAGGCAACGACAAGACCTGCGCAAACAACGCCTTTGACTCCGATTTCAGCGGTTGTTACTTCGTCGCCAAGCACACCAAGCATGCGTAGGAATTCCACTCAGTTCACACCAACTGTGGCAGCTGTTTCCTCCGCCGTGCGACAAACTGTGTTTATCAAGAGGGAACTACCACAGCCGCAGAGGAGCATGCGAAGTATGACACTTGGTTTGGTGGAACAAGCGCCACTACTTCATTTGGGTGTTGCTCCAGAGCACCTGTCACTACTGAAACGCCAGATCTGCCGCAATGCTAATGTCACCCACCTGGACTGTTGCTTGACTCTAAGGAAACTCAAACAAAACGAACAGTTTGCCCTGTTGGCCGAGAACTTTGAGCTGAGCGAATCAGATGTCGAGGACACGTTCAAGCGCACCCTTATCAAGCTGGCACGTTACCTCCGTCCACTGATTCGGTGGCCAGATGCACGGCACCACAACGAGCGCTTCAAGCATACCCCATTCGATTACCGGGCCAACCTGCTGCATGTGCGGTCGTTGATCGAGTGTGTGGAAACGAATGTGCCGATTGATCTGGGATTGGGCTGCGACAGCTATAAATTCATATTATGCATCAATACGAATGGTAATTGTTAGCCTAAATGGAGTACGTTTATTAAAATTGTTCTCTTTTTCCAGGCATCATCAGTTATGTGTCCAGCGCCTTTCCGGGCAGTTGCGATGATCTTCAGTTGTTTGAGGCCAGCAGATTTCGGGATGTCATTCCCAAGTACCTGACACTATGCGCGGAACCAGGCAAAGCAGTACACCGTGCTCGCAGGTCGGGCGGCGGAGATACCCACGACTCAGCGGATGAGGATAATGCTGTGGCAGAACCAAAGCGATCTCTTACCAAATTCGAGGCACAACGGCTGGGTGGGCAGCTAGCAAACCAGCAATCCCTATCCGTTGTAGATGGAGCACTGACTTCTAAGCGTGCTCCAGCGATTCAACTGCCCACATTCAATGCCCAAGAACCCGCCTGTAGATCTCAAATGAGGGATATGATCGATTGTTTTAGGGAATTCCAGATGCTGGATAATGGAGCTATTCAGCAAAAGTCATTGCTGGGATATCTTGATGAAATGATCGTGGTGGCTGCTGCTTTATGCAACCTTAAGCGCCAGGAGCTACTATCTTAAATAACAAATAAGGTCTGTTTTAGGGCCAACAATTTGTCCTTGTTCTAGTTACTAGAAATAAGCACTTTTCATACTGTTTATACAGTGAATCAATAAATAGTGAAGTGGATACAATTTGAAGTATTACAAAGAATGAAATCGTATAAGAGAGTTTGGCTTTTAACTGAAACATACTTGAATGGCTTTGTTTGCAATACTCCACTAGTTTCGCGATTTTCATAGTCAGACTTGCCGTGTTGTTTGATCAGCTGCCCCATCGTAAAACACTTCCAGTTGTATTTCTTTTATATTTTTGCTTTATTTACTTTACAAAAATACAAGCAAAACTAAGTACATATTCAACGAAAGTTGTTCAATGAACCAGGGCAACATTGCCAATCGGAGTTTGCAATATTTGAATGTGAAGAATACATGTATGTCGTATGTATAGATATTCCAAGGGTAGGTGCTCCATCATATCCGCCTACACTACCATCGTTGGTCGCTCTTTCTCTTAGGGGGTAATAATTAAAAACTTGCTTAGTTAATAAGTGACTCTTCGTACTACTAGCTAAACATATTATATATTGTGTGGTGTATGCCTGACAAAACCAGCTCTATCTAGCTCCTCATCCTGACATTATAACAAGTAGTATTGTGTGTTTGGGTTCCCTGTTCGTCTCAGAGCTTCTGTATGATGTCGAACTTCTTCTTGAGGTCCACACTCTCGTTCTTGGGATCGTACTTCTTCTTGGAGGCCAACTTGGCGCGCATTTCGGCGGCTGTCAGTGGCAAATTCAAACTGCCCGCCTTATTGCCACTGCTCGGTGGGGGAGGCGTAGTGGGCGTGGTCATGCCATTTGTGCCATTTCCATTGGTGTTATAAACACTGCCATTGTTATTGATGCCAGCCTTGGTAGCGGAGGGCGGTGGGGGTGTGCTCATCAGGGTGTTATTATTAATCGGCGATGAGGGTTTACTACCATTTTGAACGGGAGAAGGTGTGGTAGCCACCGGAGCTGCGGCTGCCGGGATTCCCCTATCCACCACATCCAAATCGGAGGCATTCATGGTACTGCCGCTCTGAATGCTGCTGGCATTTGAGGATCGCTTGGTGCTCACCATACTGATGCTACTGATATTGGCACTTGCTCCGGGCATCTCCTGTTTGGTGCCCTCGTATCCATTCTGACTGGCACTGCCATTTCCATTGCAGGCAGCGGTTGCTGATGGAGATGCGGGTTTCACCTCCAATGCTTTACCATCCACATCGATGAGCAGCAAGCGGACTTCATTCGCAATGGCCTTGATCCTGGCCACCACCTGCTTGTGGGTCTCGCTGCCAATGGACACCCCGTTGACCTCTAGGATGCGATCGCCCTCCTTCAAGCCGGCTGCCTCTGCCGGCGAATCCGCATCTACTTTGCCAATAAACTGTCCTGGTTTCACCTTCTCCGAGTGCAAATTGAAACCGTAGCCATCGAAATCGGGCCTTTTCACAATGTGACATGTTTTGGTCACGCCCGGTGGCAAAGTGGGCGGTGTGGGCGTCTTCGGGGAAGTGGGCGTGGACATCTTGGCTTCTGGAAGGAAATGAAATACTTAAGTATGACACTATTTATAGTTTCTAATAATACAGGGTTACTGGTTGATTACTGGCTTTAAAAAATGTTAATTACTTTTTTTCTATACTACTATATTTGCAAAAATACTTCAAAATGTTTGTTCTTGAGCAGAATATATCAATCCCATTTGGTTCACCAATCAGTGTGTGGAACTCAACTGCCGCAGAGACATTTGCTGATAAAATGCAAGATTTCATAATGAGCCATTGTTCTTTGGCAACCGATACATGAGTCTGGAATGGAAATGTCGCAATATCGTGCTTAGTTCTTCATTAAGTTGTGCTTTTTATGGGGGTAGAGCAATGCCCAGTGGATACACATATATGTATATAGATATATGGTTGTATGTTTATACTGAGAGATAAGAAAACTTCCAGTTCATTCAGTTTTTGGCCAGCTTATCGCGTATTCCCTTTATGGGCGACATTGGACAATATGCTGACCCACATTACCTGACCCCAAAAAACGACCCTGGCTAAAAGGTCCATCCAAAGGCCGATCGGCACAAAGGTACGTGTTTCTGCGGCTCTACTTCTGGTCAATAGTTTCGATGGGCATATCTGGCAAGTACTTGGCCATAAGGGTAATTGCTCGACAAATACCATTTATAGCCGTGCTCAAGATTCGGTTTTGTATTCGTCGGTGTTCCACTTTGGTTTTGGAAACTGGCAAGCGGGTAAATACAAATTCCACATGCATGTGTTCATGGGTCAAAAATGATTTAGTACTCCCCGCTTATCGCACCCACCCACACACACACACACACTCGCCGGAAAGGAACGTGATTTTCCTGAAAACTTGGCAACAGGGCATTAGCAAAAATGTTTTGTTAAATATCATTCATAACAGTAAACGTGTATAACTTTAGTTCGGAAATGGGTTTAACGTATGCGAAGTAAAGTAGTGAAAAATACGTGTACATTTCCCTATCACATATACATATGTCTAAACATTTTCGGGACGTTATTTAGAAAACTAAATTTATACTGAATTTTGTACAAGCTGTACAACTGTCTAAAAGTATGCAGCAATCGTATTTTTACGACCAATTGAATTATTTCGATATGTATCATCTTGTTTTTAGGACAATTAATGGCTAAACGTAGCTCAATCAGGTTTCGGCGAAAAGAAAAGAGTTTTTGGCATTCCGGACGACATGTTACACTCGATTTGCTAACGTGCTAATTACTGATGGGACAAACATCGCGGCATTAGCACTTCAAATCACCGCTCCGGTAATAATTGCTCGTAATTTCAGGCAATGAATGCAGCAGCCGACTTCAAAGCCCTGAACTTTGAATGCCTGAATAAACTGAATAAACTCCAGTCGCAGTCGCAGTCGCATTCACATTCGCAGGCATTGCAAATTACAAAAGCATTTTTGTGTTCCGCCTCAGCTTAAATTTCGTTTGCCTTCTATTTATATACTTATTTATGTTATTGTTTTTTACGGTTTGTTGTCGACCGTTGAATCATCGGTGGCCATAAGATTTATGAATGTTGGCATTAGCTGCGGACAATCAGCCCCACTTCCCCCCCTTGGAGCCTAATTTATTGGAACAAGATGAGCTCGTGTTTTCGGGCTGTGGGCGGGCAGGGGCTGACCTTGACTTTCCCACCGCCAATTGTTGCCAGCTTCCATTGTAAGCGATTTTTAATTCAATTCAAAGGTAAACAATGAGGCGCAAAAAAAATATCAATTCAGAACCAACAATAAGACAATTTGCCAGTTTCAGGGGGAGGGGTGCCTGTGCTGGTTGCACGGGATGAGATCGAAATAATAATAAAAATAATAATAATTGCCTACACTCGCATGTATGTAGGTTTATGGCTCTCAGCCAGCCGATTAATATTTATATTAGGAAGCGGAACTGACGGCTGGCAAAACGTCACAAAACATCATAGGCAACAAACAAAAATCGTTGAATTGACGGACGGAAATTAAACGAAACAAATAGTATTCTGCATGTGGCTAATAAGCTACACAACTATTATTAAAATTGCCATTAAATGTAATTGAAGATGGTGCTATGAAATAATTGAAATTAATCAGGGGTTTGCACTGATTATAAAACTATTTCAATTTCAATTGTGGACGAAAACATCTTAAAATGTTAAAGGCAAACCTTCGACTTAGTGATATTTCATAAGTTCATAAATCGTTTTTACCCAATTTTTTTTGCTCTGCTAAGCGATTTCCCGTTGTCAGTTTGTACCCCCTCACTCCCTTCACCTGGCAACACTCCAGTTTCTCCGCTTCTCGAGCTTAGAGAACTGCGCAAACTTTAATTGAATTTGCAATCAAGCATGAAGTACACACATATACCAATGCTAAGTTTTATCATTCACAACGCTTGGGGAATCGCCGCTGGCCAAAGCCCAAAGCCCCAAGCCCCCCACCGCCCACAGCCCCGCCCCCCGTTGACAACCCGCATGGGGACAACAGGCAGCCTCCATTGTTGTTGGCTGTTTGTTTACTTAAGCGGTTTCTCATCATTAAAGCAAATTAGCCGTTAGGCACTTGCAGGTAGTTGATTTCGATTCGGTTGGGGATTCTCCAGACCCACAGCTCCCCTTTGCCCCAATATCCGTTATAGACGCTTTCCTGGAGCCACCAAGCTTTCCGGAATTTTTCCGAACGGAAACATTTGCTCTGGGCGGCACTCTTTCAAGTGAATTCTAATTAGGCTCAGTGTATTGTTAGATTTTCGCACATTCGAACCGAATTTAATTATATCTTGGGTAAATATGCAAACTGGCGATCTGATAAGGCAGGAAATAGAAAGGGAAGCATCCGAATAGCAAAGATAACATGAAATTACCAAGTGCCCCATTCGGGGGATTTACTTTGGGATTATCGCCGCAACAATGAAATGCAAATTCATCTCTGCCTAGCTGAGGAATTCATACAGCCAGTGCTAAGTAAATGAGTCATTCGAGATGGCTGGAATTGCGGGGAGTGGGTCATTCGAGATATCAATTCATGGGAACGGATTTGTAATCAGATATGGAAGGGGTCGTGGATTCACTGTCAGCTACTTGTTTCGCTGTTTTGCAGGTAATTTAAAGTGCCTTAAAAATGTCAGCTAGATATAGCTCTATTTTTTCAGGATCTATGTCTAAGGGGTGTTCCAAGTGTCCACCTTCTGGCCTTAACACGCAGTAATGAGGTAATTGCTTTCAACGCCCAAAAATCCCCCTAAATCTCAATTAGCCAAGTCATAAATAAGCAGGCATTCCAAGCTGGCGGCTCATATATGTATAATTATTATGTAAGCCCTTTACATTGCTCAAATGATGCATCACAAGCCATTTCCAGCCGGCTAAAATGCTAAAAATATCAACTTATAACAATATTTCACTGCCAGCCGAACAACAAACACAGTAACAATGATAATTTCATCGTTTGCCATAAAAGTGACTAAAAGTTAAAGGCTACGTAATAAATTAAACAAAGGCTGACGACATTCGCCTGTTTGCTTCGTGTGCTCAAACAGAGATTTTTACGTAAGTAATAAAACATATAGAAAAGTGAAACG